GTCGAATGCGATGCTCGAGACCCGTTCGTACGTGCCCGCGGCTGCCCCTTGCCCCAAGTGGCCCTCCTGCCAGCTGCTCCTTGGCTCCCGCTGACTTTCCCGCCCGGCTCCTCTGCTCCTCCCCTCCTCTCCTTGCCCGGAACACAGGGACAACCCTGACAACTATGGCCCTTGCTGCCGGTGCTCGGTCCTCGGCGATTGCCCGACCGGATACAGCGCCTGTGGCCACTCCAGCAAGGAGTGCGCTTGCTGCCTCCAGGACCGCTCCTGCCAGCTGCAGGGCACTCCGGACGATGGGGAGCTCCCGCCCACGATCCCCGACGATTGGGATCTGCGCATCCTGTGGCGCTGCCACCGTGGGCCCCTCTAAATGGCTCCCTCCCGCCCCCCCCCCTCTCTCTCTCTCTGCTTCCCCTTCTCCCTCTGACTGGTCCTGTTGTCCACAGGTCGCGAGAGTCTCCCCCCTTATACCTTTCCCTTGTCAGTTAAGCGCCCTCCCCCCTTTACACTTGTTCAAATCCCCACCTTCCTTTCCGCTTGGGTCCCCTGTGTACCATGCACCTGTGAAGCTGGCGTTCCGAAAAAAAAAGCCCCAACAAACAAACAAACAAACAAGCACACCACAGCCAGAGCAGGGTCCATTTGATGTGTCTACCATCTACTGAAAGGTCACACGCGCCGGTCCGACCCCGCCTCGGGTATTTGGGTGTACGCACTCGGCCGGCAGGCGGAAGACCATGCTGATGGTTGGCCGGTCGGTGCCGGTGAAAAGATCCACCGGGGGCGGCCCGGACCCGGGGCGCCAACCGGTCGGAGGGCGCCGCACCCGCAGGTGGACTGTTAGTGGGGCAAATTCCTCGCGCGAGAGGCGCCGGCGGAAGAGGCACCGCAGGCACAGGCCCTCCGGGCGTTGGCGGATGTCCGATGCCAGCTCTTCGCCATAGTGCCGGAGCTGGGCATTGGGCACTGACCCGCGGAAGGCCAAGCTGGTGCTTGTTTCCGCCGGCACAAAATGGATGGGCTCGGGGAAGTGCGACTTCAGGACCCCGGCCATTTTGAAAAGCCAAGAGGGCAGCGAGAGAAGAAAAGAAGGGACGACGGAGGGGAGGGGAGGGGGGAGGGGGCGAAAAAGGGGTGAGGAACAAGCAAAGGCAAAACACAGAAGCAAAGGCAGGCAGTGCATATGAGCACACTCGCTTTCTCTCGCCCTCTCCCCTGCCCCGGCCACCTGTAATGGTGTCCGACACGCACGCTCATGAGGAACTGGTTGTTCACCAGCTGCAGGGTTTGGTCACCAAGGCGCACGGACGCCGTGCACAGCCAGCCGGCCTGCTCCGAGCGAAGCTCGGCCGCCAGGTGGGGACTCACATTGTCCGACAGGAGAATGCTGACCGCGAAGCCGGTGGCCCCGGCGACCGGCAGCGGCTCCGGGCCCGGGCTTGGCAAATCCACGCTGGCTGCCAGATTGAGTGGCCACACCAGCGCGGTGGAGGTGGTGTTCATGGACACCGACTCGTCGGATCCTTCATCGGCTGGCTCGCCCGGGCGAGATGCCTGCCCGGCGCCAGGGACCTGCCAGGGGACGCTGCTCTGCTCGAGGTTCGATTGACGGACATCCAGCCCCAGAACCGAGGCCAATGCGGTCTCCGGCGACACCGAGCCCATGGTCCCGCCGGGGGAGGAGGTGGCGGCCATGCTCCGGCCGGGCTGATTCATGTCGACGGCGAGCAGACGCCGATGCGGATCGACCAGTGCCGCTCCGGCCCCCCCGGAGGGGGCCATGCCGCCGAGGTCCGGGGCGCCATTGGCCGCCGCGGCCAGGGCGTCATACCGCGACACAACCAGCACCGACAGGGGCTTTGGGTAGGCGGTGTCGACGTCGGTCCAATCTATCCATGTGTCACGGTCGGTGAGCGTGGGTTGGGGGGGAGGAGCAGGAGCAGGAGCAGGAGCAGGAGGCGGAGGGGCCCCCTTCGCGGAGGTGGACACAAGGTCGAGGAGAGAGCATCAGAGAGGGGGACGCACCCAGTTCGATCGGCACAGAGACGGCATAGACACCAAGCCAACGGCCATCCGGACGACCGAGAGGGCGCGCCTGCGACAGGGAAACCGTGTGCTTGTGTTCCTTCGGGCGCGGGGCTCCATTGAAGCCGGACCCGGGGGAGAGCGTGTCGGCGGCCGGAGAGCAGACCGCCGGCGGGACCGAAAACCAGCCGCCAGCCCTGCCATCGACTGGACTCGGCGATCCGGGGGCACGATCGCTCGCCGGGAAGTCCGGACAGAAAGTGTCCACCGGTCGCTGAGACAAGCGCGTGGAGCGCTCCAGCAGCAGCGGCACCTCGGCCGTCAGTGACTCGACCCCGGCAATGCCCAAGCCAAGTTGGGCTGAGGAGAAGAAGAAGAAGAAGAAGAAGAAGGAGAGGAGGAGGAAGAAGAAAAGCAGACAACCGCAACCCCCGGAGGCATGGCGGAGGAAGTGGTCCTTTTTTGTTAGCACAAGAAAAAAAGCGCCCAAGCCGGCCAAAGGGACAGGCACTCGAAGGCCTTGCGACGCACGTCCGAGGAAGCCCCCGGTTGAGGGGGCATTCGAGGTCAGGGCCGACAGCGGCCGCATGGAGTCCATGTTGTGCGAGGACCACTTGAAGTAAATCTGCCCTTCATGCCGGGCACGCGCGATCACCTGGTTGGCATACCCCCGGACGAAGGCCATATCCGCGCGCTGGCTGGCATCCAGATGGTCCAGATCCGGGTTGATCAGGAGGATGGCCACAGCGTGAATGGTGTCCCCGGGAGCGGCGGCGCGGGTGGCGGCGGTGGTGGACGCCGCCGAGGGGCTTACACCAGGGCCCGGGCGAGCGGCCACGCTTCCGCAGATGACCGGGGGGGATTGGTGACCGCTGAGGGCGCCGGCCAGGCGCTCGCGAAAGTCCGAGTGCGATGGGAGGATCGGCCGCCCGGGGGCCGGGCTTTCCAGGGACTCTTCGGCGAAGAGTTCGGCAAAGTGCGACAGGGAGTTCTTCGTCAAGACCAGCAGCAGGTCGGTCGTGTAGTAGCACGACTCCACCGGCCATTGCGGCGCTGATGAAGCGGGGGCACCGGTGAGGGGCATTGCTTGTCTCTGTGTGTGCGTGCGTGCGTGTGTGTGTGTGTGTGTGTGTGTGTGTGTGTTGTTCGTGTTTAGGTCGTCAGCGGACCGGAGGGGAGATGGCAGCCCCCCAAGACCCGCAGAGGGCAGACACAGGCGCCGGAGGGTGCAGGGTAACCGGGCGAGGCGAGGCGAGACGAGGAGGCGGACGGGAGGGGGACAGGGGTGTGTGCGTGTGGGCATGCTCCGCGTACGACGTGCAGCGTCTAGCGGGTG